CATGCTGATATCCGATCATATAGATCCGTTGTCACCCGCGTGATGTGGGCCAACTCATAGTCGGGACGCCTAGAGAGGGCGTCCGCAAGCACGTTGAGCTTGCCCGGCTTGTACTCGACGCGGAAGTTATATTCCGCGAAGAAGGACAGCCACCTCGCCATCCGTTGGGAGAGGTGAGGCGAGTTAGTCGCCTTCCTCAAGGATGCGTGGTCTGTGTAGATCACAAAGGGCGTAGAGCCCAGAAGGTGAACACGGAACTTCACAAGGGCATATTTCATTGCCAGGAGCTCCTTGTCATGGACAGGGTAGTTCCGCTCGGCGGCTTTGAGCTGCCTGGACTGGAATGAGATGACTCGTTCCTGTCCAGCCGTGTCGTCCTGCAGCAATGCACACCCGATGGCGTAATCGGAGGCATCGCAGACGACGCTAAACGGCTTCGTCTCGTCCGGCAGAGCCAGGACAGGGGCCTCTTGGAGACTGGCCTTGATGCTGTCAAAAGCATCCTGGTGCTCTTGCTCCCAGCGCCAGTCGACGTCCTTCTGAAGGAGGCTCGACAAAGGCTTAGCGAAGCCCGCGTACCCAGCGCTGTACTTGTGAAGGTAGTTGGCCAAACCCAACCACTTTCGAAGATCCTTCTGGGATCGGGGCGTCGGCCATGCTGCTATGGCCTTGACCTTGTCTGGGTCAGCCCGAACGCCCACGTTGCTTACGAAGCAACCGAGAACTTTGATCTCTGGTGACGCGAAAACGCACTTGTCGATGTTGGCGTAGAGCTTGTTCGCTCGCATCACGTCCAACACTCGACGGAGGTGTCCTAGATGCACCTCCATGGCCGTCTTGCCTCCCTCGGCACGGCTATGGACGAAAATGTCGTCGAAGTACGTCTGTACGAAGGTACGCAAAGGGCGGAACAATTGCGTCACCAGGCGATTGAACGTCGCCGGGGCGTTAGACAAGCCCTGCGGCATGACGAGCCACTCCCAAAGCATGCCGCTTGGAGTGCTTACCGCGGTGAGCGGGATGTCGCTCTCTCGCATCAGGATTTGGTAGTATCCGTCTACCAAATCCAGCGCACTGTACAGTACGCTCCCGGCCATGTTGTTCAACAACACATCCTTTCGTGGGATCGGTGTTTGGGCCGGCACCGTTGCGTTGTTCAGCTTGTTATAAGCGTGAACCAGACGCCACTTTCCGTTCGGCTTGCGAACGCAGAAAGTCGGCGTCGAGTGCGGGGATTTCGACTCTCGCACCATGCCTGCCTTCGCTTTCGCGGCGAAGAAGGCATCAATGACCTCGCACTGTTCGCGCGGGAGAGGCCATTGCCTCGTGACACAATACTTTGTGCCGGGCACGAGATCAATCTCGTGCCGTACGCCTCGATCCGGTGGGAGTTGGGTCGGTGGGTGTTTATTCACCACGTCCGCATACTCCGTCACCAAAGGATACACCGGATCCTTGGGGTTCTTGAGAATCTCAGAACCCAAGCGCGCCTGACGCTGCTTGTTCATGTCTTCCAGGACGTTCTCGTCCAAGACAGAGGAGGAGTTCAGCTCCTCCTGAGTGGTCTCAGGTCTTATGAGTACCATCTCAGCGATCTCTCCAGCCTTGAGGTTGGCCAGGAAAGACTCAGCCGTCATTACCTCGAGGTTCAGTGTCTCTGCAACCTCTGGCAACTGTTCCAAGTGGACACCAGATGCCTTGACGGGTAAACCCGTCTCGCTATCGAAGATGTGATAGCACTCTTCCACCGGCCTTGTCGGAGGAGCCCGGGCCCTGGACTCCGAGTCGCTTGAAGCGACGTCGATCGGAACGAAGTTCGGATCCGACTTGAGGCGGCGGGGGCGTCTTTGCCGACGGCTTCTGTGACGGGGAGCTTTGCTGCCCACGTCTAGGGATGTCGTCGCTACGACATCCGAGGCACTCGTGGCCTCGTGTGGTACTGTTGTACCCACACAGGAAGCGTGTTCCACGCCTTCCTCTTCAGTTAAGGTCTGGGCGACCGCGTGTGGCACTGTGTTACCCACACAGGAAGCGTATCCGACGTCTTCCTCTTCAGTTATGGTCTGGGCGACCGTGTGTGGCACTGTGTTACCCACACAGGAAGC